AAAGTGCCGCTTTGTTCCCTTCAACTTGTATATATAATACTTGTCACTATTATTACCATTCAGAAATGCTGTTAAAAATTGTCGGCACTTTGCGGATTATATTCGAATTCGGTATCGAATTATTGAGTTCGCACGAAGTACAGCAAATTCTGATTTTTCGTCAATTTTTGATGGTCCGTATTTTGTTAAGTTTTGTTCTGCTGATGATCATACTTCGGTGTTAGACACTTGATTTGTACATGTGATCGAAATCGTTGTTAAAAGTTGTCGGCAATTAAAGCAACATATTCGAATTCGGTCTCGATGTATCGAGTTCGCATCCAATTTTTGTTTTTGGCCGGTATTTGAAGCCCCATAAGTCATAAAGTCCCGCCTTGTTCCCTTCAACTTTTATATATATATATTACTTTTCACTAATATTGCTATTCAAAATTACTGCTAAAAGTTGTCGGCACTTTGCGGATCATATTCGAATTCGGCATCAAATCATTGAGTTCGCACGAAATATAGCAAATTCTGAGTTTTCGTCAATTTTTGAAGGTCCATATTTAGTTAAGTTTTGTTCTGCTGATGATCATACTTTGGTGTTAGACACTTGACTTGTACATGTGATTGAAATCGTTGTCAAAAGTTGTCGGCCTATAAAGCAACATATTCGAATTCGGCCTCGATATATCGAGTAAGCAATAAATTTCAGAAAAACTTGTTTTGGCCGGTATTTGAAGCCCCATAAATCATAAAGTCCCGCTTTGTTCCCTTCAACTTTTATATATAATACTTGTCACTATTATTGCTATTTAAAAGTACTGTTAAAAGTTGTCGGCACTTTGCGGATCATATTCGAATTCAGCATCGAATCATTGAGTTCGCACGAAATTCAGCAAATTCTGATTTTTCGTCAATTTTTGAAGGTCCATATGTAGTTAAGTTTGGTTCTGCTGATGATCATACCTCGGTGTTAGACACTTGATTTGTACATGTGATCGAAATCGTTGTCAAAAGTTGTCGGCATTTAAAGCAACATATTCGAATTCGGCCTCGATGTATCGAGTAAGCAATAAATTTCAGAAAAACTTGTTTTGGCCGGTATTTGTAGCCCCATAAATCATAAAGTACCGCCTTGTTCCCTCCAACTTTTATATATATTACTTGTCACTATTATTACCGTTCAGAAATGCTGTTAAAAGTTGTCGGCACTTTGCGGATCATATTCGAATTCGGTATCGAATCATTGAGTTTGCACGAAATACAGCAAATTCTGATTTTTTGTCAATTTTTAAAGGTCCATATTTTGTTTAGTTTTGTTCTGCTGATGATCATAGTTTGGTGTTAGACACTTGATTTGTACATGTGATCGAAATCGTTGTCAAAAGTCGTCGGCATTTAAAGCAACATATTCGAATTCGGCCTCGATGTATCGAGTTTGCATCAAATTTTAGAAATTTTTGTTCTTGGCCGGTATTTGAAGCCCCATAAATCATAAAGTCCCGCCTTGTTCCCTTCAACTTTTATATATATTACTTTTCACTATTATTGCTATTCAAAATTACTGTTAAAAGTTGTCGGCACTTTGTGGATCATGTTCGAATTCGGCATCGAATCATTGAGTTCGCACGAAATATAGCAAAATCTGATTTTTCGTCAATTTTTTATGGTCCATAGTTTGTTGAGTTTTGTTCTGCTGATGATCATACTTTGATGTTAGACACTTGACGTGTATTTGTAATTGAAATCGTTGTCAAAAGTTGCCGGCAATCAAAGCAACATATTTGAATTCGGCCTCGATATATCGAGTATGCATCAAATTTTAGAAAATCTTGTTTTTTGCCGGTATTTAAAGTCCCATATTTCATAAAGTCCTGCTTTGTTCCTTTCAACTTTTATATATAATACTTGTCACTATTGATACTATTCAAAATTACTGTTAAAAGTTGTTGGAATTTTGCGGATCATATTCGAATTTGGTCTCGAACCCTGGAGTTTGCATGTAACATTGCAAAAATATTTTTCCGATATTTTCGTGTTCCCATCAAATGTAACCTTTTTTATTTTTTATATTTTTTTATTCTGCAAACATATTCTTATACGTTTCAGTGTTTCTGTTTTATGTGATATACAGTTATGTATGTTGTAATTACCACTACCAGCTGAATCTGCTTATATTTTATTTACTTATATTTTGGTCCGAGTTGTTCCCTTCGGAACATATCATTCCGAATAGGATCCATTTATTTCTTAAAAATATTGTAATTTGAGGTATTTTCCGCATGGGAACCGGTTGAAAACTGCAGAATATTTTTCTGCTGAAATTCTGCTGGATTCACAGTGGTCATTGATACCCTCCATTAAAAATTGAAATCTGCATTTTCGTAACGGGTCAGTGATCAGAAATGGTCGTTGTTATGGTACCGTACCTAAAATGCCAGGCTAATTGTTGAATTGTCTGCACTCTGTGCCTCTAATAAGTTTAACACAACATTAGCTCTACGACTTTTCAGTTAAGATGGTAACGGGTATGTCGTATGCCATTTGGCACTTGCGAGGTCCGGAAGCTACAAAACAATTCTTGTCAAGTTGCTGACAATACCAGACGCTGTGCCACAGCGGCTGTGGGCTACTGCTGTAGGGAATTTTATCCATTTATCGTTGGCCGTGCAGGATGTGGCATTGGCCATGGCCCATGTTGATGTTTATGGCCATGTACCTGTAACGTTAGAAAGATTGAAATAATACCGGTACCAATGAACAGTCACTGTCAGACTGTAGAAATAAGATTTACATAGGCCTATTTATCCAGGGGAGAGAAAAGGCAGCAAGAGCCTATACCAGTATAAACCAGTGGTTTCCGTCTTTTTAGGGCTCGTTGCACCCTTCGCAGGCTTTTAGCACTCATGGGCCCCCCTGTTGACAATGCCAAAAATACGAGCAATGCTGCATTGTGCATACCGGTATTCTAAGATATCACGATTTACTTCAGTACTTTAGTGAAACCAAAGGCAACGGACCGGTAACTGTGGTTCCGTTTTTTTTTTATTGCTCTCCTATCGCTCTGTGGCCCCATGTTTGCATGTTTTTCTGATAATCATTTTTATGAATTCCATCATAGTTTTAATTTAAGTTTGTATGTATCTTAGACCACCTGATCGTCTTTTCAGCAACGCCCAATCAGTGTAGTTTTTCATGGCTTTTGACTATCTTTGTCAATCTATCACCTTGCATTCCACACATTATCTGTATATCTGATTGTCTTAAGAGTATAACAACACGAAAGTTCAATGCATTTGTATATGTATTGAACTACACTGCTTGCGGGCATTGCTGAAAAGACAATCAAGTTAGCAAGTGGTTTAAGATACAGAAAATAATGAATCTGCAGATAGACTGTAGCCTGCGTGCCCACTCAATACTGCAATATGTTACAGTTCTGCAATAGCCGTATGATTATTTCTTTACTCCCTATGTACTGTACTATCAGACTGCTGGACTAAATCTCTAAAATCTACCAAAAAGGTGAAAAAATTTCCAGACAATTTCAGTGGAAGGGCAGATAGGGTGCTGTAGTTTTATTTAATAGCTTATGAATTTATAACACTGGTATAGACAATATAGGGTACTTCCGAAGTATGTAAACCAAGATGGTGAACACCGTAACGTAGTATGTGTACCAGGTTGGGGTTGGGCCATAATTTAATTCCAATTTTCCCTGTTTTAGTTATATTATGAGTTCGGGGACTTGCAAAGTGACTCTTACGGGACAATTCCAGAATATTTTCATGTTGTTAGATGCAATATATTTTTACATTTTCAGCTACATGTTTTGTTTCATTGTACAATCAGTTGCTTTATTGAATATGGGAAAAATTGCACAAAAGTTACACCCAAGACATACTTGGTGTATATAAAAAAATATAGTAAAATATAGCATTACACTACAGGACGGTAAATCCACCATGCATTAACAGTACATTGCAGCATTGTGTTGTGCTGTAAATTTTTGCGATGGTACAGCAGGAGCCCATAATATTTTTTTGGGCAGTAGCTGAAGGGACCCTCTATATGTTGCTCAATTCACCTAATGTAACACTGTAAATCCATGCCAATAATGTGCATATTGTATGTGACACTACAGGCCATTTTTCCACTTCGGAACAGCGACCTCTATCATCTCTCAAAATTCTGGTAATAAATAGTTAAATGGGTGAAGAAATGTCCTACAGCACTGCAAACATTTAAACCTTGTTAACTTAAATTCAGTGAGTCCATTTTATATGAAATAACTGTATCACACAATCAAACACTTTGTGTCGCGAATCATCACAAAATATGTCAATTATATCAAAATTTCTACATTTTAGGCCATTTTTTAAAAACCATCAAAAACCTGGGTGAAATTTTAACTTTTTCGGTGAAAGGAAAGCAGTCCAATAAAATTCCAATGTCTTTTGATATAAAAAATACAAAAAAATTACTTTCACTACACTTTTAAAAAAATTGATGGAATTCAACTTTTGCTTGGAATGACCCCTGTAGTATTTGTACCTGAAATTATTGCTTAACCCTAACCTGGTACACACACGACATTCCCGTGTCTTGGTTCACATACTTCGGAAGTACCCTATATTGTCTATACAAGTGTACAAGTTCTGAAAACCCAATATAGCATGGTCCCCTTTTTGGGGGCGATTTATAAAACTACCCACACAAGTCCATGCATAAGAATCAAATAACTGGCTAGCTAATCCCATACTCGACATGGACTGGAAACCGGACGACAGGCCGTGGTTTGCTTGAATGGCATAACTCACTTCTAATTAGCTATTTATCTTTTTTAACCATTTTCTACAATCTACCAGTTAATGTGTTCTAGCCTAGGGAAAGTTCATTTTGTAGATAATGTCTTCCATACTGATACCTATTTTGAGTAGACTATCATGTTTATTAGTTTTTCATTTGTAACACCTACTGTTGGGTGCACTTAATAATGCTTACTGATTTCTATATTTTTTCCTGACAAAGTATGCAGGACATGGCACATAAAATTGTACTGGAACTTCCTTTAGTGAAATTCAATCGCAGTTGTTCTAAAATTAATTTGAATGATACTTCGAAAGAAATGGTCTGTGACAATGGGGCAGTTCAATTTTTGCGGGCTGTGCCTGTCATAGTAAATTTTCAGAAACTTCTTGCAACAGATCAACAAGAAAGTGTTATCCAAGGTATGTTTTGTATATATACCCACTTTTAAAGATAAATTACAGAACAGACCTAGTTTCTGAAAAAAGTTTTGCAAAGTTGGACTTTATTGTGAATAAAACGATATATACAATGATCAAAAATGTGATTGCTAATGTTTTATTAATATTCATTGAAAGTTTTGTCTGATGAAGAACAGTTCAAAACTACTGTGGTCTGTGACCATATTGTGTTTTTGATAGAATTTTCTCAATTATATTTTTTCCTCATGGAATTGGATTTGAGTAATCTATGATATGTTGCTTTCATTTCTTTGACAGGAACCCACAATAAAAATCTTTTGCACGCTGTGGCTGCATTGTATGATCGATCATTGCCAGATGTTACTGAGGACGTTATATATTCGTCGATATTTGAAAAGTGGGCAAGAACAATTCTACTTGTTCAAGAATATGAAGACGCTTTGAAAGATTTCAAAGTTAGAGAATTGTCAAAAATGCACAGCAATACACGCACACCGCATAAAGATGGTAGTATTGTCGTTGATACAATGACTGATAAACTGGTGAATGCTGAGCTGAAAAATGCCAATGGTGCTTCAGAAAGTGTTGTTTCATCTGATCCCAAGGAATGCGAGAGCCGCTTCAGTAATGTGTTCAGTGACATGGAATCTGAATCTGAAAATGAAGGAGAGGACGATGATGATGTGAATTACTTGGATGCAATTGATGAGTTTTTCAAGGGAGTGCAACATAGAAAGGAAGCACGCAAGAGGTGCAACTTACCCATAATTTATATTCATCTTAATTTTTAATAATCCTGAATACCTATCGGAACATATAGATTGAATTAAGTACATTTTACAGCCAATTCCAAAAATGTCTTAATATATTATTTATTTCTTGCACTATGTACAGTATCTCATGTCGTTGCCATATTTTGATTGTTTACAGTGTTATAAATGTTTTTTTGGGGGTGATGCAAGTATTCTACAATGAAAAAATGTTTTATATTTTATTTTTAGATGGATTAAAGAACACAATTGTTCTGGAGAGCCGACTCATTTGCTGGGTGAGACATGTGTGAGTTTCATTATATTTGTTACAAAAGATAAGCCATGTGCAGACTTGTATTGGGTAGTTCATGTAAACTAACTATAAAATACCTTCTATCTATCTAAAAATCCATTGCATAATCCATAGGATGATATGAGTTTTAGGGAAAATTTTTATTTTTTAGATTTAACTTTACGGTATGTGATGCTGCCATCTACCTGGCCTCATAATAATGGATGAACAAAAATATATTCATATACAAATACTTCTGAATTCGACCACAGTCCAGTGTCAGTGATTTGCACAATTTACCTGTATTTGTAAATATGAATAGGTTCAACAAATGAAGAGAGTCTTATATTTTTCTTGTTGGATTGATATATAGCATGATTATGAATACAAATTCATAGTTATATTACTTATAAATAACGCATTAAAAAAATATATGGTAGAGCCATTGTTACACACATTGATTTACTGTAGATTATTTCCGATTAATCATTACATTACTTAAGCCTCACCTGCTATGAAGGCTCGATGGTTGCCATATCGTATCAAGCATTAGTATATTAATTGCAATCACTTTGCTGGTAATGCAACTGTTGGTAAATATCTACTTCACAATCAGGGCGCTTGGAAGAACTGATAGGTAGACTAATGTTATACCTGAACTGATGTCGCAGTCATTTATACCCAAAATTATTAAAGTCCTATAACAAGATAAATGTAAGAACAATTCTTAAAAAGGAAAAGCATATAGAGAAAAACGAATATGGAAAATAAGTTCAGGAATGGGGCTGTGGCTGGATTATTGTTGGGTTTTTTTCAGTTTGAGTTGCATGAGATTCAACCTACTATTTCGTTCATATATAGATATATATTTACTAGGGCTGGGAATTTCAGGGAAAACACTTTAACCGTTAACCGGGCAAAATTAACCGGTTTACCGGTTAACCGCCGCGTGACGTTTGACGTAATAATTTCAGCTTGTTACGTCACAATGCTCATAAAGCAATTTCGCGTGTTCTTATCCCGGTATCGCTTATTAAAATTTTTCACGAATCGAGATAGTTTCATGATTGCTCTGCTGCAAGAGATAAGCAGCGTGGTTCGGGCGTGTGGAAGTATTTTAGAAAACCCTTATTCCGTTGTTAAACGTCATTTATGTGACAAATTATCAGTGTTCGATGTGCAAATTTTACTTCGAGGTATATATCATATCATATAAAACGGCATCAACTGCGAACTTGTTATATGACATTGAATATCCGATTTTGCAATGAAATCGTGAACAATATATTTCGAAATCGACCGAAAACTGATTCTGAATTCATCATTGTCAAATTTCCATAATCAGCAATCTTGGTACTTCCGCTATTTTTCACATTTATTGAGTCCTTACCCACACAGTTTGTAATATTCTTTTGAATTAAATGCCACAAGAGATAAATTTGCGATGACGTAATCATATTTGAAGAAATTGTACGGTATGAAGATGAGACATTCATAATGTGATGAGACCAAAAAATTTTTTTTTTAATTTAATTGTCTGGCTATGCCAAGCATACCACTGGTGGGGAAGCTGTAAGCTTCAAGCAAGTTCTCTCCACTCGTCATACCATGGAAAGAATGTTAAATTGATATTCCAATGATTCAGATGAAAATGATCAAGCAAGATTTTTATTGTATTTTAAGTCATTTAGTACTGTTTTCATGCATCACCGAAGTTGCAGAATTTGATTTATATTACTTCTGATTTCTGAACTAATTTATTGAAAAGTTGCTTTATGACAGGCATTGAACACAGGCTTCTGGGCTGCGCTACTTTTGAACATTCGTATGAAAAACCTGGTCATAAAGTCATACAACTTACTCTCATTGCTACAAGAAAAAGATATCGAAAGATGGGAATAGGTCGATATATGACAAAATCAATAAGAAATCCTGCATTAGCTGGAAGATATGACGCAATCGTTGTCAACTCTGATCACAGTGCAACGAATTTTTTTGAAAAAGAAGGTAACCTAAACAAACTACAAGTGAAACCTTTGGCATCATTATTTGTGATAGTAACAATTGCATAATAGGCCAATATCAGTGAGTAGTTCTTCTCCAACTTTACTATGTTGCACTGAGGGGTGGACACTTTCCATAATTTATTTTTTTGGGGGGGGGGGGGGGGGGCGAACTGGATTGTCAACCATGTTTATACATTGTTAGTTGTAAAGTTACAATAATCTTTCGATGTTGTCATTCACTTGAGATTTTAGAATGTCATTTTACTATTCGAATATCTGGTACCGTGGGTCCTACGCCGTTTTGATTGGAAATGGTACTCGCGTGTCATTATATGGACCCCTTTTGATTACGTGAGAATTTGCCCATGGCTCTTACTGACAGACAGAAACGACAAATTTGAGAAGTTGTATTTGCCCATGATCCAATGCGGAATAACACAGACAAGTTTAAAAAAGTAAAGTACCGGTATGTACTGTATATCTGCATTCCGATGTCAGTGGAGATGATAATGTTCGCTTAAAATTCGGACGGTTAATTCACTTCTTATTAATAGTTGTCTTTAACATATTATGTCACGGATGTGAACGCATGGTTCTGGGCTAAATATAAAAACCAAACTTTGACATCCGCCGTTGCGTAACAATTGGTTCTTGTGAAATAAAAAGAACTGGCGGAAATGTAGCTTACAAACATTAGGAATGTGTAATCACTCCAGTATTCTGGTGTTAGGAGTGGCCATTGTAACACAGCTGCAATGTAATTTAAGCTTAGAAGACCTTTATCAAATTTAGCAAATTGCACTCCATGAAATAAATGGTGGAGTTGGGCGATTATGTTACATCTTAAGAGCTAAAACGGTAATATTGTAGCTCGTTTCTGCGGTCTGAAAATCTTTTTCTAATACGTGTTTCAAAGTCATTTGTAAAAAAAACAACAATGCGATATAGTAAAGGTGATGATGCTTCCCAACAAATAATACTCGGTCTTTGCACAAAATTCATAACCTGAAAGAAACGTAAAACAGTGAAAATTGCTTATAACAGCCCGGGTTTCCGCTCCTGGTTGCAATTTTATATAGAGCTAAATTGCCTGAAAAATCAATTATCTTGCATGCGAGACTTGCAAACTAGCAATTTTTTTTATTGACAAAGTTTTCTTATTTCAATAAAATTATTATTTAATAACCCTGAATTTACTGCGCATTAATGCAGACATACTGGAATGATCAGGGTCTAGTATTGCCATCATGACATGAAAGTGAGTACATGTGGAGGATATACTAAGAACAACCGCACAGGGATGGTATTCAGTTTCATCGTTTTTTGGTAAACTTTAATGCAGAGAATGTTAGCTCATACATGTGCGTTGAGCCAATATTTGCTAGTTGTTCTATTAGCAGAGTTTACTCTCTATTCAAACTTCGGGAAAATCAGTCATGTAAACTTAACACATTATATTTTAATGATGAGTGCAGCTTCATCTATCGTGAATGGAGATATGAATATTTATTTTTTCGCATAAACAGAAATAATTTAAGAATTATACTCAATTACTTCAGAGGTTAGGAATAACGGACTATTCTTTTGCCTTTTTTAGTTGAAAAAAATTTCCAGGTCTGATTCAGTTTCCAAACAAGTTGGCAAGCTAGGCAGTATTGTCTGAAACAGATCAACATAGAAGCGTGACATGAGTTTCTAAGAAGATACCGGTAAATATTGGTTATATTCTTTTTTTAAGGTTTCAGTGATGATGTTCTTCTTAACAGCAAATATGCTGACATTGGCGACACTTGGTATAACTGTAAACGAATGTGTTTCCTTCCTCCTTATTATTCTGATGCGTTTGATTCGTCATGTATTGGAGATCAGTCAACTTCAGATGTATATTATAAAGACCTGGAAGATTTGGATCTCAAACAAATGGAACTTGATCTTGCACTCTATCAAGAAAAGAGTTTACAGGTTTTTATGATTTCATTTACAACCATAAATTTTAAACTCCTTAATCATTGACTTTTGCTGTAAATTGTTTATTATTCATCCCAGGCTTTTCAAGCTCAGTCAACTGTCATACAAAGACTTCGTAAGGAGGTTTTGATTCTTCGTGCGAGAGCATCTGCCCAGAGTGACACTATAAAAATGCTAACGAAGGAAAATCATGGTGTGAGAGATGAAAAATATGCTTGCGAAAAGGAACTGTTAAAGTTGAAACTCAGTGTTATGACCAAAGAAGCAAACAACTTTTTGAAATTAGACGAGGATTCAAATGGTAAAATCATTTTTCTGTAAGAATTAAATTGGGTTCAATTTATGTGGTAGATTGATATGTGCTTGGGGATGAGTGGAGCCCTCATTTCCATAGGGTTGTAAACGTAACCTCTGCTTGGTTACTGCTTCCTTCTGCATCAAGTCCAGACATCTGAAACAAATAACTGGCAGACTAATCCCATACACGACGTGTATTGCTAAACGGTCAAAATGCCGTGGCCATAAATATGGCCCTAACTATGTTTATGATTCGAGAACATTAGAGAATCTGATGGTGCAGTATATGTACTAGTACTACATTCTTCAATTTAGTTTGACTGAAATTAAATTGGTGGTGTGAATTATAAAAATGAAATTGTTGAATGAATGTGTAGATAAAAGCACATAGGATCATTCGATTATGGTGTGTATTCTTTTGACGTGGACGGGCACGTACTTGTACGTTTTTACCTTTTTTACTAAGTTATGCCCGTCCTCCAGGTCCCCTGCATTTTGTTTGTGCGTTTTTTTTTTCAGAGTGACCGAAATAAAATTGATTGAATGATTCTACATTTTATTTTAGTTTGTGAAGCAGAAACTACATAAAGGGAAGTATTTTCGGTAGAAATGGATGCTTTTGAAAATCTATTCTCCTGAAATTTAATCCGGAAATAGGCGAGGGGATGAAGGTTTGCAGACTATAAAGAACAACATACTGCATTGCTATATATTAATTTTGTGGATATCGACCTCATAAACTGATTCACATGAGGCGATATTCTTATTTTATGGTCAGCCGTTCAACTCTCGAGCTTTTTATTAAAAACGATAAGTACCAAATGACTCGTCGTCAGGGCGAGAAGAGAGAGTTGGGTGAAGGTTAACTCCTCATGAACAACTTGCCATGCAGCAGCGGTGAACGGGTTAGCCTACTAAGGATACTAACATTCGTTTTGATTATTTTTGAATAGGCTAACCCGTTCACCATTCATATCCTTGTTCTGACAAACAAATCGCTTTTCTCTTCAACTACTGGAAGATTTTCTTTGAAATTTTCAGTGGTTAAATATATATTGTATTTTTTGCTAGAAGGCTATTACTTTTATCTATTGCTAAATTTTCTATGAGATCTTATATTTCATCCAAAATTTCACTGTATTATTTTTTATCCATGGGAACACGGTTTTTAATCCCGCGAGTGTGACAGCTGTTCTCTATTTCGAGTTTGCGAAATCTTGCTACGCGAAAGTCTGAAGTTTTACAATAACGGTGATGCACTGTAGACTAGGTACGGTACGTTACTGTATATCAGTGGTTCTCAAACTTCTTTGTATTGTGATGCCCTACAAAAAATTTGCTCAAGTTGCGACTCCCCATAAAAAACGTCTTGATACCTTTCAATAAAAGACCTTTTTTGCAACGAGTTTTATTTAACGAACAAACAAAACTTGACGAGAGTCGGTGAAATCGCATTCAATGCGATGGATGTACTTGTTCTTTTTACGATTGTCATTGAACCTTCAGGTGAATTGTGAAAGTGCACGCATTTCCCTCTCAACATTTACTCGAGAGCGATATTTTGCCTTTTATTACGGCCATGGTAAGGAAGTCGCAAATAGGATGACAGTGCGTAACGCTTTTTTTACCAAGGAAAGATAGGAAATCAAAAATCTCATTACATTTTCAGAATCAAAATTTCCTTTTATATCGATTTCGTTCAACAAAAGGGCGAAGAAAAGCCGCAATGTGTTGTTTGTGCCAAGAATTTGGCCAAAAAAGGCATGTTACCTGATAAGCCTGAACGGCATTTAGTAATATTGCATCTCCAGTTGCAACAAAAACCACGGAACTGTTTTACCTGAAACTTGAATGCTCCAAAGTCATACTCGGGAATTTTCTTATTCCCTATCATTTTTTGCGCTTGTACATTTCAGCAGTGCAATTTTATATTTAGGCCTTTTCTACGTACCGCAAAACAGGTACAATTCCGCAAAAGAAAATAGTTTCGCGACGCCCACTTTGTGAACCACGGCTGTAAATGATTTAATACTGCAGATATGGGTCCAATTATTTGTTATTTCAATTCACGTCGGTACAAGACGCGCGGGGCATCATTGTCACAGGACCTGGTAAAGCTGGAGCAGTCCGGGTACCGGTACTAGTAAGTTACGATGGTCCACAGTTTCAGCTTCGTTCAAGATAAGGTTTTTGAGGCAATTATTTTGTTTCGGTATTGGTCCCGCTTTTTAGCGTCTTGTCCCGACAAGTCGTCAAAAGTCCCGCTTTGGCGTTCAGCCATCCAGCATAATGCACGAACATTACCAATTAGCATGTTCTCGTTACTGTTGTTGCTGTGTAGCGCGGCGCTAGCCTAGTTGCTGAAGGTGAATGCTTTATTTTGTTTGTTTCGTTGTTCCCCGCTAACATTGTTAGCGAGCGTATCACATGTAACATTGAACAACGTCTTTTTAAAGAAGGTGTTATCTACAGAAAAGCATGATTGGACGAATAAGTAAATTCTCAATGCTTGAAAACGCCAGGCTATTTTATTATTCTTTCTTCCCTTCGCTGTATATAAAAAATCGAAATTCGAATCATTTTGTATCGTTAACGTCAATTCCGTGCTATTTTACGAGCTGAACCCGATATTTGGATAGTGAATATGCGCATGAACTCTCGATGACAATATGGCCAATGAAGACGGTCGGGATGGTTTAAAAAAATAGCCCTATGTAGTAAAATCGGAAAATGTAAAATTGCGAAATCACAGCTAAGGGGTCGTTGTCTTTGGAGGCGTCCCGCTTTGAAGTCACAAAAATATGGTAACCCTACTCTTATGTCTTCTTTATCGTATGTTGTTAGCGTGAGATTCGAGTTTGTGTTGGAGCTAGGGCTGGGCATTTTCGAATACCTTGTGATTTCAGAATCGAATATTTTTTTCGAATCGAATCTCGAATACTTGAAAATATATAATTGTAAGCGACTTTATTATAGTAATTGGTCCTCTCAACAAATGAAGTACTGAAGACGTAGAATAAATCACTCAGATAGATTACTGAGCGTTCACACAAAATATAAAACACGTTTTATCAATAACTCACTACAGAAAATAGTCATATGTTAGAATATCGTTGAAAAAATATGACTCCAGAGAAAAAAAAATTGGGGAATTCACCTCGACCATTTGCGTAGAATAAAAACAAGATGGCGGCGATTCGAAATTTAGCCCTGAATCGATTCGAATAATTTACTATTCGCTTCGAAATGCCCATCCCTAGTTGGAGCACATCGTAGGACGCTATTTTTTAATATTCACTCCGTGACCAGGTAAACTCCAATAATAGTATGCCCCAATAAGCGCACACACTCAACATCTTCATATTGATTTAGCCTCTGTGTGAATAATCAGCCTTCTGATATATACCATTAGAACGTCTTTACTGTTAATTTTGCAATCTATCACGTGTTTGGGTAGCGGAAGGTGGGGCGCAGTGAAAAATCGGTTCTCACACTCGTATCCGAAATAGGGCATGCATTACGACGTCCCCACAAACGGACAGAGGTCGTACGAGGCGACGCAAGCTATTGGGTGAAGTTGGTTGTGGGGGGTTGAAAGTAAAGTTTCGTCATTTCATTATTTTCCTTTTCTACTTTTAGCCTTTCCCACAGGACAAAGCAATGTCAGGCATTTGGTCAACTGTAAACTATTCTTAATTTTGGCGAGTGGATGTGCCTTCCTAGTCTTGACATGAAGCAGTCTGAAAATGTTTGGTACTAGTGGGGATCAATGAGCCTGGGTTCAGTGGGTGGTGCATCATTTGTCGGTGTGTTATCCGTTGGCTGCCCAGCCCTAGACGCATGTTTTTCCAGAGTGCGTTGGTAAAAGCAATTTATTTGCTTTTGGCTGAAATTTGATTGTTGATATATATATCTTTTGCTTTTGTTGAACACATTTGCCAGTTCAGTGATTGAAAATGAATGAACTTTCGTCTGTCACTGTCGAGAATGAGAGTTACAGAACACTTTTTCAATTGATAAAAACTAGGCATAATCTAAATATAAAGCAATGAATTTATTTCAGATTAAATAATATGAACTAAAATATTAAACAGGTAATTCTGCAATGTCAGACTATATAGATACATATTGTAGTCGAAGTGGTTTTATTGGATTTTTGGAAAAAGTTCTGCCATATTTAGGTTGAAAAATAATTTCAAATTGTCAATCTCCAAATTTGAAATCCCGCAGTTCTTTAGATCAGGGTTTCCCAAACTTTTGAAATCGCGGCCCCTTCTAATATATATATCAAAATTTTTCGCGGCCCTTTTTCACGTTAATATTGTTAAGCAGTTCGAAATATGCATATTTGACATTTTATTGACACAGCTAAATTCTCAATTTTTAGTAGGCCTACTCAATAACAAAAACAAATTTACATTTACTCAGATTACCATTACTCAATTATTCAGTGTAATGAGTGCGAATGCTTTTTGCTGCATATCAAGTCCAACTGTGGATTAATGTTTGTAAATGCAGGCCTAAATGAAGAATTCCGATGTCTGCCACCGACGTCATGGCCTTTATCCGGCATCGTTACTGACTCTTTACTGATCAAATTGAGCATAAGGCATCGGTTTGTGCGGCGCCGATTTGTCAGGAAGAAAACTCACGAAGAATATGATGCCTCAAAATAAAACACAATTTTGTCCTCGTTATTGTGTACTTTATGGCTTATGCCTTAAAGTTTAAAAAAAACGTAGGCCTCAAGAATAAAGGCAAAAAGATATCTTTTCTTTCTTATTTATCCTGGTTTTTCTTCAAAATGCTAAACAATCGCTCATGTTCGATAAACTCGGTTCAGCAAATGAATAAACTGCAGCCTATGAAATTGCAGCATGTAGAGTTGACTTCTACTGTTACGTAGCAACTTACCTTACGTAACAAAAAGTAAACAACATATAACGAAAAATGAATTTGATTCATATACACATCATTTAAATCAATGATAAAAAATAACACATTCAGAATAAATAAAATATGTGAAATATTCAATTATATTATTAAGTAGTATTTAACATAAATATCCTAATTTTCGAGGCGCACTCAGCAAATCGCCTTCAGGAACCGCAAGCTTAATGATTAATGCCGGCATTGGTATGCAAGCACGAGCAAATTTGGTATTACGATTAGGGCCATGATTCTAACGTGTTTCTCAAAAAATATAATAATACCAAGTCTGATTTTTAAAAATGATTTTAATATAAGCGCTCCCCATAAAAAAGACTTAGTCGATAGCACAATTTTGTTTTGAAATAGTCCTAGGTTCTCGAATTGCGTCGTTTCAATATTGCTAGGGCCTCGCAAAATTTCGTGATCCTTCCAGCCGACCCACATCTTCTACCTTTACTGAAAATGGAAGATTTAATTTTACCCGTGATGGTGTTATAAAAATAAATTTAATTCTGAAAATTCTGTTTTCCGTAGATAAAGATTCGTGAAAGCGTGGCGTACTCCCATCCCCTTTGCGATTTCGTATTTATCTAAAGCAGGATTTTCTACCATGACCCATTACATGCGATTTCACTAACTGTCGTTGGATTTTGTTTGTTCGTCTTTTATTGAACGGTATCGTTATGTATTTTCACGGGGTGTCGCAACTTGAGCATATTTTTCGGGGGCGTCACATCTCACAATACAATGAAGTTTGTGAACTACTGAGTCCTATAGTCGATAGCAAGTAATCTTTTCTACTTTTTAAATGGCTAATATTATTGATATATATTATAATTATTATTAGATTATAATCTATATGTAGCCATTACATTAAATGAAAATTGGCTATTTACAAGTAGGCTAAATGGAGATCGGTATTCATATTTTGTATATCAAAAATCTCGTTATTCTCTACTTTGTAATTTTGTTTTTGAAAAATGAAAATAAAAGACATCCCCCAAAATAAGCGCTAGTGTTCTTTTCGAAAGAAAATTGAAGTAAATGTTTTATTTTTGAGGAAACACGGTATGGTGATGTATTGACTCGGAATCGTGAAATTTTTGTTATATACTATAGTTTTAATAATTGTATTTCGAATAAAGAGTCTGAAAAAGTACAATATATATCGTCACGCTAATAACCGAATTGCGTAAGTCATTTTTGGCGATTTTGAGTTTTTTATAAAATAGGTATTTATGTAATGCTGCGCACCTGTCTGTTAACTTAGATTTTATTTTAGGAATTCCGAAACCCATAAAAATGGAGATTTAGTATGACATGCACATTTGTGCAATTGTTTCGTCATAATGAATTATCCTTGTTACCGCAGTACTATTGTGACGTCACAAAGGCAAAATAACCTCGGCGAAGTATTTTCGAGTTTTTGCATCTCGGATTCTAGCTTAGCGCGTATTAATTTGAATTTTT